ATTATTACGCCATAATTTTAACATTGTTTCCATCTCAGCGATAATACTGTGACGTTTACGAATGATGCTTGAATTTAAAGATTGAGCATTTTTCACAGCTTCGAGAATTTTTTCTTTGCCTTTAATAGTTGTTCTGTCTGACAATTCCGGTAGATCAAACTTCTTTGCCAATTCACAAATTTTCATTTTTGTATCGAAGTCTTTAATAATGGCTACGTTCGTAAAGTCAAACGAGTTAAACGCGTTAGTAACGAATCGTTTGAAAAGTCTAACGAAATAGGAATAACGATGACTTCATTCTCGTTTAATTCGTTCGACTTTACGAACATACCCAATGTTAACTTTACATTCCAAAGATAAAGTTTTTATCGTCTTGTTTGATGCAGAAGAATCAGTTCTACTTTGTTTGGATGACATAATAGAGTCTCGAGTCTCCGTAGATATAAGACACAGAAATAAATAACACAAAATAAATTGTAGCTTTTGTGTGGATTCCGCGCGACACATCCGAACATGTAAGCTGAACAATAGTGTGGGGGAGTGAGTAATCAAGGGTTACGTGGCGCTCAAACAAAAGACGAATCGACGAGATTTGAAAATCGCGTAACTCCGGGTTTGCGTAAGTCGAGGTATTACTGTATATCAATTAAGATGTTTTCATATTTCTGAAAATAAAATTATTGCAAATAAGTAACAACAAATTTAATTTTATAATGATCATTTGAAAATTACAGTTGTTTGTTTATCTTTGCTGACACAATTTTATTTTATTTAAATTTTATAGTTTGTTTTTATGTAATCATTAATGATTTTTCAATTGTCTTAGGTGTGGAAACAGATTGATGGACACTGTGTTTTAACACTTTGTGGCCATCAAGATGCAGTAACATGCCTTCAATTTGATTCTTCAAAGATTATAAGTGGTTCTTTGGATCGAACTATTAAGTTTTGGAACATAAATACTGGCAATTGTTTAAGTACATTAGATTGGATGAAATCTGAAGGCCATACTGGTGTAGTAAGGTATATTTTATAACTGAAATATTCAATTAACTATAAGTAGATCTGTAAATGATTAAACTATTTATTAATGCTATAGTAATTTTAATCCTATAAATTATTGTCCAAGATTTTACTATTTTTGTTTTATTATCCCAATTTCTATATTTTATAATAATAATTTCTTCATTAACTTTTTGGTGAAATTATGCTAACCTAACATCATGATCTTGTTAATCCTTCCTGAACAGATATATGTTTCATATAAATTTATAGAAGTAAAGACAAAGTACATAAATGTGTTCTGAGATAGAGGAGAACATTTATTTGTTTCTTATTTATTGAACTGCAATATTCAAATTGCAGACCTATAAATTTCCACTGGTGGCTGTCTGTCATTAATCTCAAGAATAGAGTTAGATAGATTAAACTTGAGACCAGATATGGAAGGCTTAGAGGTAAGAGAGAGGCCTTAAGTATATAGGAACTTTCCAGTCTGGACTGGAAGTCACATGATTTGAATTCAAAAATTTTCACCAGAATGGAGTTAGATAGATGACTGACATAACTCTGTTGGATAGAGGAACAGTATGATGTATAGTACTAGTGCAAGATACTACTAAAATTGTAGCATGTATCTTAAATTAAATAAATTAAAAATATGATTAAAAATTACAGCCTGGCATTTTGATGATGTCACAATAATTTTGCTCATTTGCTTTTTATTCCCGTTATAGTAATTTTGACAGTTGTTAAATTTCAACTGTTACAGCATAGTTTCCCATCTTAATTTAATTTATTTATATAAATAAAATAGAAATCAAATTAGCATTGTATCCCACATGTAAATTGACAAATTAATAATTTATGTACCTAATAAAAAATGTTTTTATATTTCATATAATGTTCACAGTTAGTAAACTTTTATATATATAATTGACTTCAATTCAATTACAAGAGAGATCAAGAAGGGTTTAAAAATTATTAAATTATTAAAAATTCAACTTAGTCATTTTTGAAAATTAAAGTAGTTTTTCCAAGTTTCCAATGTTTGGTAGTATTCCATGTTAGTTGGTGTTATTAGATTTTTTTTTTTCCATTCCTTTATTTATTTCAACTTTTTAAGCTAAAGATAAAATTGTGTGTGTTTCATGCTTACGCTTTGTAAAAAACATAGCTAAACACTTTGCTATCTAGACATCTAAAAATGTTATTAAAACTATGAAATGTTACATTTTTGTCACAGTTCAGGAATTTACAGAATATTTGCATTTCAGAAAATACCTGAAACATGTGCACTGTATAAACTAGAAGACTGTACGAGGCTTTCTTTCTTCAGTTTCATGTTTAAAATATGAAATCTGTAGCTATGAATTATTCAAATTTAAAGTAAAAAATTCAGTTTAACACTTATTGAAGTACAGTGGGTGATTGGTTAACCTATCCCATGTTGAAATTTTTCTCTGTTGTGTATGGCTGTCATGTTGAATTTTTGTCGATGTTAAGCCTAACAATTTTTTTTAATAATAATCGTGGCTACTGTATCGTTAAAAATTATTTTTTTTATTTTGCACAAACAAAATAAATATATTGAAAAATATAAAAAATTATAACAGCATACATGATAACATGTATTCAATTTTTAATTAAAAAATTATATTTCAAAAGTTTGTTTTAATATAAAAATTATGATGCATAGTGACATCTAATATCAAAAACATACTATACTGTAACAAGATATATCAGGTTTAACCCTGCAGGTCAAAGGTCGCAACCCTGATATATGTCAGTGAGGTTATGATCCGTTCCAAGACCATGTGTGCTACCCAAATTGTTCATTAACTGATCATTGATTTACCATTGATTTTTACAGAAATTTGATTAATTTGTTCTGGAGATTCAAAAAATAAATAAATTATATACTTTTTTACTATATTCATTTTATATGTAATAATAAAAATACATGTACACAGTCTGGCATTTTTATCAGTTGTGTTTTATTTTTTTTGTTTATGGGGCATTAAAGAATCTGTCCAATGTTGATTGCTTTTCTCTCTTCTTCTGGATTTTTTGGAAGTAATTAATAGCATTGTCATCGTAGAGATTCTCAAGCATATTAACCTCAACCTGGTTTGGATGCCATTCTATTCTTCTCCCACTTCTTCAAAAGATCTTTAATAGCAGATATTGGCATTGGTCCTCTTTTTCAGAAGAAAACATATCTTGTTGAGTTTCTTGATGTTCTTCATTTAAGAGTTCTTGGTGTTCTTCTGTTGTCAGATCAGTTTCAGGTTCAATTATGAGCTCTTCAATATTCTTTGTTTCTCAGATGTGATTTTCATTACTCCTTTAGCTGCTTGAGTCTTCTTGATTATATCTTTCTTAAATAAGATTGTGCCTACTGTAGACCTGTTCAAGCCATACTGCTAGCAACATCTGCTTGCTCTTTACTTTGGCTATTATCTCTTGCTTGGTTTCTATGGTAAGCACAGTTCTTGACACTCCACTCTTTTTAGTCTCCATAATATTATCATTTTCTTTTTTTAAATAAAAAGTTCAAAAAAAACTTACAAAAATTCAGAGAACAGAAATCAATTAGCACACAAAAAATTTATGTAAATGTGAGGCCTGGATGAAATTCGAAATTTGGTGTTAAAATGTTCACGAATATCTGATGGGACAGTTAAACTCTCACTTTTCAAAAAGAAAAACTGACGCAAAACTTAATGAATATCCATCCGACAGTCTCACGAAGACTATAAAAGATTTCTTTCTGTCATTAAGGTAAACAAAAGGATGGAATTAAAACAGAGAGTTTCAAAGTTTGGAGGAATGCTATCCGATCAGTATATACCGGGTTGAGCATCAATGTCGACATCTCCCGCACTCCAAAAGGTTTCATATTGTTACCTGGAGATAAGGGAAGATCAATCAGTATTTGTTATTTTACATCATTTCTTCTTGTGTTTGTTCTGTGAGGTGTTCATTATCTGAGCATGTGTTTGTTGTCTGAACATAAAAATCCTTTGTGAAAGTGTTCATTGTTCGATTTGTTCACAGTCCAAATTGTTCGTTAACTGATACAAATTTTAAGGTTTGAATTATTTAACAATTTGAATAAAGCATATTTGACTATGTACAGTATGTATAATATATATAAAACAATTTCTTTGCAAGACTACAAATGTTGATTTTTTTTTTGTGTGCATATAAGATTAGAAAATATCAACAATTAATTATACAGTCAGTTCTGATAGTAATGAGTAACTTCTGTTTATTGCAGTGAAGTTGTAAGATGCTAAAAATTTAATTTTAAAAAATAAATAAAATAAATTTGGTTAAACTTTTCTTAATGGTATTTAACATTACTTTTATTAAATTTATTGAACAGTAAATAAAATTTAATATTTGAATTTTTGCAATATTTGCAAATTTATATTAGGTTTAGTACATTTTATAATAAGATACAATCAATTATTTTGATATATGAGGGTAATTAACAAAGTTGTTTTTATATCTAAGTAGTTCAAAAAAGTTAAATCATTAGATTAAGATATTGCGATTTTTCATCTACGTCAAGATTTTTATTTCAAATTCAGTAAAATCTTGCATTTCTGTTTATGATGATAAAATGTCAGCATTTACAAAAACTTAAAAATGATTTCAGTCTTTCTCTTCTTAAATTTTGTTGTCATCTGCAGAATCAAATCCATAAAAGTTTTGAATGGTAAAAGCAGTGTACAACTGTAGTTGGTTTTATACATGCCCATGTTTCAGCAGAACAGGTATCCAGGTAGTGTTACTCATATTCAAATGCTGCAGTATTTGTTTGAGTATTAAGAATCTGTGTCAAATTTTAAAATTTTGTATTATTTTTTGTTTCCTAGGTTGTATTAGATAAATCACATTGGTAGCAAAAAGTGTGGTTGAATTCATTTAAGATTCTTAGGCTGGACACGTGCAGCACAATTATCCGTCAATAACAAAATTTTTCTCTTCTGTCATCCTAACTTTATCCCAGTAATAAGCCATTCATGAAATATATCATGAGTCATCCATACTTTATTACTGTGTCTTGTACAGAGCAGTCTTCCTACTCTGTAAATATACTCCCACAACTGCCGTAAATGATTGGACTAAATTTGGATGAAATGATATAAATTAGAAATGATTTGGCACTAGAGTGAGGCGTTAGGTGCTATCTCGTATTAAAATTAATAATTATAATATTTAATTAATAAATTTAGATTAAACTGAAGAAAGCAGTTGTGAGAGTATATTTGCTTAATATTGGGTTTCAGTTGGTGTGTTATATTTGTATATTCCTACTCTGTACTGTTTTGACATTTTTAAAAGCATGAGGTCTCTGAACCAACTATTGCAAGCAATTTTTTTGTTCTAGATTTTGTCATATTGGTACAAAGCAATAGTGTAAGCCTTTCTTTTGTCTGCTTGCCACTTTTGCAATGATAGCAATAAAAAGTCAGTTTTTGATGGTAATATTCTGTAAAACAAACCAGTTTCATCACAGTTTGAAAATATCTACTGTGTTGTAGTTACAGGAAATAAGTGGCCACTTTTCCTTCAGCTGCAGCATGATTTGCTGATCCTGATTCTTCTGATATAGTTATGGAATGATGCTTCTGAAACTTTGATAGTTATCCTTTGCTTGTTTTGAAACTTTCAATTATTCAGCTCTTTTACAACTTCAGCAGCTTTTTGCTGTATGAAAGGACTACTTAAAGAAATCTTGTTATTATTTACTGATCTATTTTATAACCAGTTTTTTTGAGTTCAGGATGAGCTCCTCCTACATGCTAGATATTAAAAATTGCTATTAAAACTTGCTGAATGTTCATTTACTATAGTGTAATATACACACTCAATTGTCAAATTTAAAGAAAAAACTTATTCAATAACTTTAAACATGCTTTAAAATTTTTGACAACAGCTTTACACTTATTGGTGCATTATTTTAGAAATATAAAAATGGCCAAAAATATTAACAATTGGCATTATAAAAAGAGATTCATTAGTATCAGATTATTGTTTGGACCCAATTTAATTAAACAAATTTCTTAAAGATTACTGAAATTATTAAAACATTACAATCATGATTAATTTTTTCATAATTTTTTTATTGATTTTTCAATCAAATTTCAAATTCACTGATTAAAAAATGATCAATTTACTATATCTTTGATTTTTATTTTTATTTTTATTTTACCTATTGAGTTAATAAAGCTTGTATCTTTTTTTTCCATATTTTTTCCATATTTCAGGAACTATTTGTTTATTCAAACTCTTGTATCAAGCAACATCAGCTTGACTTTTACTATCACTTATTTCTTTTATCACAGAAAATTTTATTACTTAACATTATTACTTTACATTTTTTGTTGGTGTTTTCCATGACGTCACTGTACTGCTTCAAACTTTGCTGCTGCACATGGCAAATCTGAAACTGAAGCATAAGAAAGTGACAAGTCCATGCACATGAATGGGAAATAATTCTAGGAGATTACCTGCATTGGTCCATAATATTGAGAGTCTCTTATTCAGGGGTGTGTAATATCTTATAATTTTTCCTGTTGTGAATTGTTTATCCAACCATACCATCAGTAACAATGAGCTGTCTGTTATATCATGGCCAATAATAACAAGAGTTTAATTTATCTGATATTGGTTTTTGTCAATGAAAATTATCATCAAACTAATTTGATGGCATTATATTAAGAGAATAATTGTTGTTATTATAATTGATTTTTTGAAAATGTATTCTCATTTATACATTTCATAATGGCTAATGTGTAGAAAATTTAAAATGGTAGTTAATTGTTTTTCTTTAGTTTGTTAAACTATATTATTTCACCTTTGATTTTATTCTTAAATAATGCTGAAAAAATTAATTTAAAAACTTCAGCATAACTTGATAATTAGTAGTAACTAAAGATATGAGAACAATATAAATGTTCAGTCAGATAAACTGAAATGCAAATGAAAAATTTATTACAGTATAATTATAATTTATAAAAATTATTAAATATAAAATTACTAAAATGAACAATTTATTGATAGATGCTTACAAGCTGATCATTGGAGAATTGTAAGTGCTGGAGATGATAAAACTCTCAAAGTAAGTTTTTAGAGAATTTGAAGTAACAAAAATGAAATTATCTTGATACTTTTTATAGAAGTATTTACAATAACATTTAATTTAAAATTTTAGTAATAATACTGTTTAGTATGTAGTTATTTAATATGCATTAGATTGATAATTCAAAATTTTATTTTCATGTTCAAAAAATATTCTGCTATAAAAAATATAATAAGCAAACATTAAATAAATAAATAAATGATTAAACTATGGTTTTTTCTTCTATTATTAAAAATTATATTGCTACATTGAAACAAATTTTGTTTTTAATATTTGATTATAGTTACTGTTATAAACAAGAATAATAATGTAATTTAATATAATTAATATCAATTTAGAATAAGTTGTATTTTGATAAGATATTTATTAACATTAATTTTTTTTTAAATAAGGTTGTCAATATACATATATAAAGTATAATATAAAGCATAAAATACTAATTTTGAAAGATCATCTTTGAAGTTTTTTATTTAACTATCAACAAATTAGGGAATATCATCTATCAGTCATAAATAATTATGACTGATAGTTGACTTTCTCAAATGTTAGAATGTCAATTTTTCTTTAATGTTTTGCTAATTATGGTTTTGGATAGTATACTGTCTTTCAAGGCTATATCATTCACATTTATCAATAATTAAATGAAGAAATAAGAATATAATTATCAAAAATATAATTGTATTAAACTTTAACATAAAATTTTTATACTGTTCATAAGATTTAAATTCTAATTTTATGTAATTCAGGTATGGAGTCTTGAAACTGGACAAAGATTTGTCACATTACGTAACCATACAGACGGAGTAACTTGTCTTCAGTTTAATGACGGCGTCATTGTGTCAGGATCATATGATCAAACTGTAAAATTATGGGATTTTAGCGTATGTTAAATATTGTGTTTGTGATATGCAAAATAAGAATATTTTTTGAAGTGAATTTTATAGTCTTCCTTATGATTTTAATTGAAAAATGAAATTTTCTTAAAAGCATAATTTATGCTATGCATTTAATTTTATTTTTAATTTGATATGCACATTCATAAAACAAATATAATAAATAGCATTTGCTCAAAAGTAAGTTGAAAGTTAAAAAAAAATTGGATATGTTTGAAGATAATCTTAATTTTTTTATAATTTTTTTTAAAGATATTATTATCAAAGTATTAAAACATTGCTTATCATATTAATAATATCAAAACTATTTGTAAACATAAAAAAATAATGCCTTTGAACTCTGTTGTTCACTGTATTTCATATTTAAACAAAGAGAATGAAAGAAAACATTCTAATTGATTATAGTTATTCAAAAATCACAGTTATATAGTGTAAATAAGCAAATGAAATAATAATAGAACCAAAATTGCTTAGCAATTGCATCAGCTAATAAATGATTGAAAATAGTCATTTTAAATTTCATCATAATTTGTGATGCAAATCTACAGTATTAATTATTATATTTGAAATGCTGTGAAGAAAAGGTAAAAGACGTAATAATTTGTAAAATATGGGTTATTTGTGCTGGAATGAAATTAATAATGTTGTATATACTATGTATATTGTGTATATAATATGCAACTTATAAATGTGTTCTCAGACTTTCATTGATAGGTATAAATGGAAGAGCATTAATACTTAGTACTAGGATATCTTCCTTGCATTTATTGTGTGTTAAATTGCTAGCCTTTTTTTTATCAGAAAATTTAAGATTTTTATTAAAAATGTTTGCTTCGTGTCCATAAGTTTTATTAGTATTAGCATTCGTGAAAGAAAGTGTCAGTGGAAAAATGATACAAATAATAAAAACTTTTTCTCAAGTCAAAAAGCATTAATTCAAAATCAGATGGATAATGAATTTTTTCACATGCAAACAAATATATTATTATTAAAAGCAAAAAATAGTTACATATATGAACTTTTATGCAATGTTAACTTTATCATAAATACAGTAGAGCGTCGATTATCCGAATCAACTGGGACTGGGTTGTTCGAAAAATCGATATTTCGAATAACTGATTATGTACGAAAAAATATATTAAGTTATTCCATGTTAAAATTTTTCTCCTTTGCGTGTCACTTCGTGTTGAATTTTCGTCAATGTTAAACCTAACGAAGACTATTGTATCATTAAAAATTATTTTTTTAGTTTGTACAAACAAAATAAATATATTGAAAAATATAAAAACAATAAAAAATTATACTTCAGAAGTTAATTTAGTATCAAAAACGTAAAATATTTGAGTAGCCCAAGACATAGCCAAAGATTGCAGCGCCACAGCATTGGCGAAAATTTAAATTTGCCGACTGGAATTCTTTCAGATGATTGACGTTTCGGATAATTGACTTTCGGATAATCGACGCTCTACTGTATATTCAAATTATATCTTTTATTATTTGCATTGTTTTCCCACTGAAACCATTGTCATTTAATATTTTTTTTTTGTGTATTTTGTGTATTTATTGTGTAATTTCAGGTTTTATAGTAAATTTATCATATATTTCATACACTAGATTAGTGGTTCTCAACATTTTTGGAAATATGGCACACTTTATTATTAAATATTACTGATTTGCCAACAATTCAATCACAGAGCTCTCTCTAATACTTTTTCTATAATAGTTTACTGCTACAAACATCTTAAATATAGTTGATAACACAGAGAAGTACATTTTGTTTTTTATTTTTTATAAATTTTAAAATGTCTCACTTTAGTTTTTTTTTTATTCATTTTGTAGTACTCTTAGAATGACTTCATTAGTGCTGGGCGATTACCTAAAAAATGAAAATCGATTACAGAAATCGATTAGGATATGATAATTGATTATCAATCAATTACCACACCTTTAATAACAACAGTGTTTATTAAGTTAGTAAACCACTATTATTTTTAATAATACTTGTTAACAAAAAGACCACTCACAGGTTTCACATTTTTATAGAACATTTATTAATTTGTAATTGCAATATTACTAAACAAACTATAATGAAAAAGAAAGTATATCATTAAACTCAAAGATACTCATAATAACAAGTTTCTCAACTCTTTTTGGATGCAATGCACATCATTTCTTTGTAATAATATTTCAACTTTTGAAAAAAGACGTTCTGCAGGTACTGAGGTTGCTGGAATACCTAAATATATAACAGCCAGTTTCGCAAGGTGATAATTGAAATGGGCAAACGTTGTAACGCTGCCATATAACAAGAGAATCAACATTGTGAGGTATAGTTACAGCTTCTAAGTAAGTTTTAAATGTAGTACAAAACCCTTCTTCAGACTTTATGGGATTTCCGATTTCCCTATGTGACCATAGACTATACTCATCTGTGCTTTTAATGGTTTTTCTTAAGGTTTCCACACAATCTACTTCATATTTAATCTGCTGGAATAGATAGTTATTGATGAAAGAAATTGCATTTGCAGCACATATTTTGCTTTTGAAATCTGAATTCTTAAATCCAGGATCTAACAATGTAGAAACACTGTATAACATATTATTTTCTATGCCACAAAATTGTTTGTTGATATTATTGAAACAGGCCTTTTTTAGATTTTTTCCAATTTTTGTGATGGGGTTTGTTGCCTCCAGAGCTTTTGCAATGAGGCCAACAACAGGAATATCTTTATTAACTGTTGTGTACTTCTCACCCATCAGTTCAATGGTTGCCAAGTAATATAGCTTCAAAAGTTTGAAGGATTCTTCCAAGATTTCCATCTCACTTTTAACAAACATATCGGGAGCATCTTTTTGTTTCTGTAGCACAATGGCAACTGCATTTTTAATTTTCAAAAATTGATCCAGCCTAATTATCATATACTGAGTTCCATCTGGCCATCTGGTGAGTACACTGATTTTCAGTTTCAAAGGGGAAGTTTCTCCTGAAGATAATTGTTCCTTTTGCAGCTGATGGCTTGCAGTTGTGCTGTGATGAAAAAATGAAATAATGGCTTTCACTTTGTTTAGCAATTCATTAAATTCTGGTACATCAGCACTGCGAGATTTAAAGAACGGACAAAGCATTTAAGGTGTTTATCTTTTCTGATGAAAAGGTCTACTGCTTTTCAAATGTTTGCCATATTATCAGTAACAACTGCAACTATTTTGTGTTTTTCAATCCCAACAGTTGAACAGGTTTCTTTTAGCACTTGCACAAATATTCAGCTGTATGACTTGCTTCTAAATGTTTAAGTCCAATTATTGCACTTTTACAAACATAATCCTCCACAAAGTGAGCAGTAGTTCCAAGATGTGAACGTACGTTAAAGGAATCAGTCCAGGAATCTGTTGTAAGATAAATCTTACTTTGGGATGAAAAAGTTTTCGTAGCAGTTCTTGGCAGAAATGAAACTTCAAATCTATTTTATTTTGAACCGTTTTCCTGTCTATTACTTGAAAATGTGGATTTACCATCTTCATAAATTTTCTGAAGCCATCTCCATTCACAATATCAGCAGGTAGATTATCTTTTATAATGAATGAAACAAGTCCATTTATAATATGTTTGTTCTTATCACCTCCTTCTGAAAATAAAAAAGACAATCAGTAGATTAATCGTTGATATAATCAAATAACTTAATATAAAATAAAATATATAATTAAATGGTTTTTTAAAAATTGTGTGGCAGGTTGTAGTAATTGAATAATGTTAACTTGCTTGATTTGTCTTGCCACGTGGTAGTTAGGGTTCTTGCCACCCTGTGGCAAGACAAATCAAGTAAGTTAACATTATTCAATAAAATAAAATAGTCAAAAAATGTAAAAAGGTATATTCAATAAACCACAATAACTTTTGAAATGTTCATAAAAGTTTGACTTTAACTTACCACTGTAAGATGAAATCAGGGTAAACGAATCAATGACACTTATTTGTGACGACTGTGAAGAGGTAGAAATAGCACTGTTAGGCCTACTACAATAGAGTCTCGAAAACTCGGCACTCAATAACCCGACAGTCTGGATAACTTGGCCACACTCTGGCAGGGCTAAAATGAACTTAGGTGAACTTAACTCTCCTGTTTTTTTTTTTTGATGATATGAAACCGTGCTTTGCTATTTGTTTATGCTTCTGACACAATATAGTGCTATAAATTAAGACACTTGGCGGATTTTCTCATCTTTATCAACTAAATAAAGATGAGAAAATCCGCCAAGTGTCTTAATTTATAGCACTATATTGTGTCAGAAGCATTAACTCTCCTGTCTAAACTTAATGTTTTTATATGGAATGTAGATAGTGCTGATTGACCAATGAGTGCTTCTTAGTCCTATTAAAGGTCCATGTGATCATCCGATGATCGACGGCCAATCATCTATTCTGTTTTCAAAACTAACGGTCGTTTCTCGATCCGTATTTCTACAGCAACAACCGTTGTTTGTTTGAAAAAGAGGAAAAGCGCAGAAACCATACATCTAAACGATTCCATCATAACAACAGTACTCTGCGATGGCATCTTCCGTTAAAAGAAAACAAGTGAACATGTCTATGGAGCAAAAGTTGTGGGCATTAAAGAGACTGGATAAGGGAGAAAGTGTCGGTGCAGTGGCTAAGGACTTGGGAGTTGGCAAAAGTACGATTGGAGACTGGAAGAAGAAGCGGATGGAAATTGAGTTGTGGTGTGTTAACAGAATGTGTACAGAAACATTGAAAGAAAGGAAAAGTATGAGGAAAAGTGGCTTTAATGAGGTAAGTGAAGCACTTTACATTTGGTTTTGCCAAATGTAAAGTGCTTCACTTACCTCATTAAATGAGAGGGGCACGCCAATTAGTGGGCCAATCTTGCAAGAGAAAGCCTTGAAATTTTACGAAGAATTTAAAAAACACAATGATCCTAAATTTGTCGCAAGCACTGGCTGGCTTGATTGCTGGAAGAAACACTATGGAGTCCGGCAGCTTAGTATTTGTGGGGAAAAACTATCTGGGGACATGGAGGGTATGTCTCAGTTTAGAAAAAACTTTCAGAAATTTATCAAAGCTGAAGGTTTAACCGGAGAGCAATTGTACAATTGTGATGAAACAGGGTTAAATTATAAACTGCTACCAACAAAAAGTCTTGCTTTCAAGGAAGAACAATCAGTCCCAGGTTTTAAAAGAAGCAAGGAGAGGGTAACAATCCTAGCATGCAGTAATGTAACAGGTGAGCACAAATTAAAGCTTGGTCTCATAGGAAAATCAAAGAAACCACGTGTGTGTAAGCACATTGTAATGGGTAAACTTTCAGTTTGGTACTGAAACCAGTCACATGCCTGGATGAGCTGTACAATTTTCAAAGAATGGTTTCATGGAGTATTTGTTCCATCAGTTGAGCAGTTTGTAAAATCTAAAAACCTGTCAAGGAAGGCTATTCTGATTTTGGACAACGTGTCTTCGCACCCATACATTGAAGAGTTAAAAAATGGGGACATACGAGCAATGTTTTTACCACCCAATGTCACAGCATTATGCCAGCCAATGGACCAAGGAGTTTTGGTTAGTCTCAAGAGAAGATATAGACACAAGCTGTTATCCTCCCTTCTTTCTGCAAACGATGATGATCAAGGTCTTATCCAGAACTTAAAGAAAATTAACCTATTGGATGTTGTTGGTTGGGTGGCAGATGCCTGGAATGAGTTAGAGTCATTAACACTAATTTGTTCCTGGCAAAAACTCCTTGATCACGAGGGAAATGACTTCGTTGAACATGATGATGCAGAAAATGTAAACTTACTCGACCTGCTGAAAAGAGTTCCTGGATATGCAGAAGCCGACGAAAATGACGTCGAACAGTGGTTCCAGAACGATATTACCAAAACATTATGTCCGATGCAGAAATTATTGCTGCTGGCACAGTTTTGCCGGAAAATGATGAATATGTTAACGTTGAGGACTCCACCGTACAAGCTCCTAAAATATCACATAGTGAGAGACTAAAGGCTGTCGAAACCACCCTTCAGTATTTTGAACAACAAGGTGCGTTGGTAATGGACTTACTGTTTCTTCGTCATCTTCGTGATGAAGCAGCAAAACACAGAGTGCAGTGCAGAAGACAACAGGACATTACGCATTTCTTTTTAAAAAAGTAGCCAGTTTTTGCAAAGTCGGCTAGATAATTTTCATTGTAGACAGCTTTATGCTTTTCTGAGGTTTGTCTTATCAGGTAAATTACTGTACATTGTGTATTCATTAATTTTCATTTTCATGTAGTAAAGGCTTTATAAAGTACGTACTTTTCCTATGTTTAAGGGTATTTGAGCAGTTTATTCTCTGTTGTATTTTCAAGCAAACAATACATACAAGTACAGTACAGTATTTTCTGAGGAAACACGCATACTTATCCTTTTTTAACCCCATTCCCGATAACCCGGAATTTTCACAAACTTGCCCACCCTTCGGTCCACATTAGGCCGAGTTTTCGAGACTCTACTGTATTATCTTCCACTTCCACAACTTCCATGTGGTCAGATTGACTATGTGAGGTAGTAGGACGATTATCAACTTCCACCTTCCGAAAAATATGTTCATGATAATTTTTCAAATGCATCGCAAAATTAGTTGTATTTCCACACACTTTTTGCAGATTGTGTATTCTGCAAAATCCATTCCAACATTTTTTTAAAAATAATGCCAGACTTCTGATGTCTTCATAGTCAGCGCCATGTTTGTTTAATCTGCTTCATCATCATCTTCTTGCATTCTCGTGACTTGATCTATCAGTCCACTCCTGAGCTCTGATTGGCGGGACAAATTTGTTTAATCGATTAATGTTCTATTCAATTATGAGGTAATTGATTCCTGTTATAATCAATTAATTTCGATTGTGATTGATTAATCGCCCAGCACTAGACTTCATGGCATGCTAGTTGAGAACCACTGCATTAGACTAAACTTTTTAATTTGTGAATTTTTAAGACTTAATGAAGTAACAATTTATTTTTATCTCAATAGATATTGAGATTCTATAAGTGAAAAAAGTAATTTAAATTCGAAAATTTCATTAATATATATTATTAATTATTTATTTATAAATTTAAAGCAATTGGAAGATTTGGTGTTTAAGCATGTTTAAAAGAGGCTAATTTAGGTTTGGTACTGAATGGATCTAATATACATACGATAGAAAACATTGTTAATATCTAGTACAATACATTAATATTCCCATAATAAGTAGTATGAATTGTAAATGTATTAATGTGGTTAATCTAATATACAAATTAATGTTATGGGAATCTAAATATTTTGATCAATTACAAATCAAATTGCAAATAATATAAAGAAAAATCTTTTGGATATTCATTTTTTTTTCTTGAAAGCTTTCTGATTTATTTTTTTTTTAAAAAAGAAAATGTATAATTATAAAAGGATTTTAAGAGATAGAAATATAAATTTTTGTTAATATGATGAAAATATTTGAGAGTATCATTTCATAACTTCAGAAACAGCAAATTTGCACTTTGATATTTTCCATTATAAAGCATTGTATTAAATCAATATACGTAGTCATAATAGTAAAAGTGTAAGCAGTCTTCTACTATAAACTTATATTACAATATAAAATTATATAATCAGATAATGTTAGCCAATGAAAGGTTATTGCTGGAATAAATTTTTCCTTCAAATCAGATGATGACTGCTTATATTAATGCATATTTTCTGAATAATAAACTTTCATCTAAAGAAAACTATTGATGACTATTTTTTAATATGATATATATAAAACTTAACAAATAAAAACAATTATGAATATAAATATTATATATAATGAATGTATTTAATACAATAATCAGATATTTTTCAAAGTAAGAAATATTGTTTACATAAAATACAAGCTTAATATTTTGTTATATTGATCAAATCTAAGGTATACAGTAAACCAAGCCCAAAATTTACAAATAAAATGGTAATGCTTTAATGCTTGATTCTTGAGCTACAACTTGGCTAATTAAATATATAGATATTATGTAATTTAGATTAAAGGTCAGTGATTAAATCTCTTTCTTGTATGAAATTTAATAATTAGAATTAAAGTTAATTATTTTAAAATATT